CTTTAAAAGAAGTGGATGGTCCGAACTGTAACCTTAAAAGAATGCCGAACCAATGGAATTGTCAACCAGTGGATGGGGAACCAAAAAATAACTACAGTGCCTTAATTTTACAAGAATATTTGTTGCGGATGTGTGGGCATATAATCGTAAAATATCCTTTCGCTTATTCCTGTATCGAAATTTTGAACTTGTCAAAGGTATTTGAAGCAAAAAGCGATTTCGCCAACCAGTCAAGTTAGGGAGCTGAATTCACGGCCAAATCCTATATCGATTTGCGACCACGAGATTTTAAATTGAGTCTTGGGAGACGCACAAGTCACTCTTGAATGCCATGAAATAGAAATAGAATGAAGCATACTAAATGTAATTAAGTGAAATTGTTGATGGAGGAATGACTAAAAATTGTATGTGTATGTGGGACGTTGAATGGGAGGAGCTAGAATTGGGTTTTTTGAAGGAAGTTGTTGAAAAAAAAGGTAATGATTAACTAGTAACTGTTGCGACTAGTAGTGACCAATGATAAAGGGACTCAAAAGAAGACATAGTTATATAGATTGATATTTTGTGACAAAGGTAAGGACATGTGTTGTGGATATGTGAAAGGGAATATGTAGATTTTGCTGTTTGTGTTTCATCCCTAAGCTACAAACACAGACAGAATGTGGTGTGTTATGGGGCGGGAATCATCAGTGTAGCCCCCAGACCACTATGTGTGAAAGTTCATTTCAGGTTTGTGTGAAAGGAAAAGAACTAAAGAAGAAAGAGGAAAGTAGAAAGGAGGTAAGTAGAAAGGAGGTAGTAGAAGAGATGGGAGAATGAAACAGAAAGGAGATGTGGATTAGGGCGGGGGGGGGGGGTTGGGTTAATTAAAATAATTGTGTATAAGAACTAACTTAACTGAAGTAGTTGTCCGACTTCGATCAGTTAGCGGGCGATTCGGGCGCGATGAAATCCTGTAATAAAAGCTGGAAAAATTTAGGGACGGGTTTCAAAATTAAGAAGCAAAGAAGCGCCACGCGCCACACCGGAATCATCGCAGTATAAATATTTGCATAAAACTGCCTTATATCTACCCACAAATCTATAGACAGTATTGTGTAGTTTATTGCTGTCGTTGTCCCGGCAGTGATAATTATGTAGTAAGCGTCGCGACCACCGCAAAAATTGGTCCAGAGAGGAACAGATCCGTGCATATCTTAACATTTGAGAGAGTAAAATTCCTGCATGAAGAGTATGGTCAACATCGCTGTTTGGGTCAAAGTTTGTTTTGGGACATTTGTCTAATTAACTCATTAAACATATTGAGCAAGAAGCATTATTATTGTGAAGATATATGCTGTATATGTGCGGGTCTATACGCGTAAAATGAATATTTGGTTGCGGCTGTGATCTGCGCAATGAATGCTTTTAAAATCTAACATTATCGTCATTTTCCTTCCTCAGTAATCAGACAAACAAGAAAGCTGAAATTTTGCAAGAATGCTGGCGCACACCGTTTGTGGTAACAGATTAGCATAATACCAGTTTTTGGGAACGCTCATATTTCGCATACGAAGTGTTTCAGAAATTTTAAAGATGCAAACTGTGAATATCTCTAGCTAGGGAACTGGAAGAGGACGAGGGCTTGAAGTCTTCTGTGTGTTGAAATACGCAGTTTGTTTGGCGTTGTCGGCCCACCGTGGAGAGGAACATAATCAGATTTTGACAGTTATGAAAAAACTGGAAATGCCATTTAGATCTCCCAGATAAGCAAGCCTGTATGTACACATACAGCTGTTATCCTGTCTGTGTTTCATCCCTAAGCTGTAAACACAGACGGCAAAATCGGTGCGGAATGGGTCGCATACGAATTCAGATTGCAGAAAACGCATGGTCGCACCAGCAGTTTGCTGCGCATCGTTAATGGCTCCTTAG